TAAAGATTCTGAAATTAAATTTGGGTAAAATTAATCATATTTGAATACCAAAATGCATTGGTCACAATTCCTGTAAATAGTTATAATTAAGCGTGATGATTAAGGATATATGCAAAATGCTATTTTTCAAACAAAGAGCGATATTAATCAAACAGGACTTTTTATTTATATATCGCGTGCTCTATCCCAAAGTCTTCTTTTAAATTACGAAATGTGTTGCACGCCAGGTTCGAGTCAATTTAAAAAGAAATGAGTCTAGCAAGGCGGCTTATCTCCAACACATGTTTCTCCCTGACATTCCTGCTCCTACATCGTGTGTATAGTTCTCTATCTTGCCTTTTATTAAAATACTTAAATGACACTTAATTGAAACTTGAAATAATTTACCGTTTTATTAAAATTCGTCTTTCCCGAATAAAACGAAATAATTTAGTATGTGTATCCATGTATTAACTACGTCGAAGTTGTCATTGAATCTACAATCGCCAGTATTACTATCGAGCCACAGTCTGTTGCCAACTCATTGTTTTGTGTGAACAACAAAGTATTAGAAAATATATATAAAATATCGTGGGTTCGAATCTCGGAATTTCTCTCTCGCTTTCTCAACTAAAGATTTTAGCTTCGGCTGCTATTTTAACAATTCAAACACATTTTTTTTCCAAGTGGTATAAATGAAACATGTAATTCTAAAAATGTGAAATTGCACTGTATATTATTGTTAAATTAATAAAAAAAAGCGTCTCCTGGTTGTGCAACTGAAATTACTGATGGCTTGCGCGCCATCTATCGGGATAAATATCAACTAATCGTTGATTTCAAATATTCCAAAATATTGGCTTCCTGATTAATGCTATAATTTCATATAGTTTTTCCCTTTCCTTTAGTTTGTCTTTAAATACTCATTCTTTAATTTTCCAGGATGCCTTTGGGACCAGAAATTTTAGTCATTGAGGTATTTAGCCAATATGCTGAAATAATATTTGATATTTGTTCTATTTATTTTCTCCTTTAGATCCCGTCAAAACAATATGCAAATCAAAATGGAACCCAAAGGAAAAGTTTATCATAGAGATGACAAATTTCGCTTTTATTTAATGGTGAATTTTATTGATAATAATAGTTTGATTTTATTATATTGATATACTTTTTTAGGTTAAAATATTCTCGTGAAATATTTAAATTTATATAGGAGGAGCCACTGTTCGGAACACAGAGAAAATCAATCAGTCAACTGACTAACATTTGGGCAGTCAATATAAAACGGTAAGTTGCTGCTTGCGAGTTGAATATTGGCTGCGATCGCGTGACAATGTTGTATAACCTTTATTTGATATAATAAACTTCAAAAATAGTTGGCAATTGAGTCATACATTCTTAAAAACATTTGTAATTCGGACACGAGAGAGTTTACATAACGACCCCTAAAAGTTTCAGGAATTCCAGAATATTTTCTGGGGAAATTTCCATGAAGATAGTTCTTTTTTATTACAAAATAAATCTTATTCTTACTTGATATATAGTTAATATATTGAGTAAAAAACTAGGAAAATTTCCCTTCAGCATCTATATCGGGATTCAGGCAACACTCGGATGATATTTTATACACAGTATTATTGTTGCTAACCAAGTGTTATTGCCTCTTTCTCCTTTAAAGGTAAACGGACGACCGGAGATTTCAAAGACTCTTCACTACCTTGCATTTTCCAGATCACCATCCGGAATCCTTATCAGTCCATCACACGTCGGGTAGCAGCTTGCATCCAGGTCAGGGGGGGACCAATGACAGATTAACTTTCTCAAAATATGTGATAAACAAACTCTGGAATAAAAAAATTGATTTTTTCTGAAATTTTGATCGTTTTTACTCTATATAAGTACATGCCCCATACACCAATATTTGTCTAAATCTGACAACTATTTCTTTGAACGCCGTTTTTGTTATAGAGTGTTTTATGATTGAAAGTACACTTATGCTATATAACAATATATTCACGACGTTTCGATGAATACTCCCTCGTTACAGATGTGATGCATATTGAATATCAAATATATGGTATTGGGTTATTTCCGCAAGGGGAATCTAGCATTATTTATTAAATAAAAGTACTTAGCCTCTCTTGCTTATTTCTTCTATAAAAATATTATTGTGATATCAGAATTACACATATTATCAAAATTTTGAAATCAACTCGGCATCAAATTCTAATTAAAGATCTTCAAAATCGATAGAATTAGCTTATAGGCAGTTAAATAAGCCAATTAATTATTGACAGGTATGGATTAAACCGCTATATTACTCTGTTATCAGATAAAATTCCGATTAGTATACGATAGATTCTAACTCGTTTTCATTTCTATTTTGGCAAAAGATAAACCTTCAGATTTTCACTCTTAATAGTGCAACATCTTTAAAAAAGGATATCAGTTTATAGAAAATTTATATTTTGAAAGGTGAGTGGCTCGTTGAAAAAAGCGAGATTTCGGAAGCTTGCTTCGTACCGAAATATAAAATGCTGTTACATACTATTTATTTATTTTTTTGAAAATAGAGCAATCCATAAATAAATCTTTAATTAAAAAGGCATATGTTGGGTCAAAATATCATTGGTAAAATAAATGACATTTTGATACAATGTATGATTTTTAATTAAATACTATTTATATTTTCTTCATTACCCCGTTTATAAGAATATAAGAACAAAATCTTCGAAAATTCGTATCAATGCGTCTTTCATGACAGATTCATGACCTGAGTTTGGGGATCAATGTTTTCAATCTATATATATAAATATTTTTAGAACACGGCGCACACACATTCAACACACACAATATTCAATGTTTACTGAGAGGTGTGGTGTTTCGCGACTTTAAATTAATAAATTACTTTGATATATACAATAAAATATCGTTAAATTTCTTTTAAGCTACCGGGGTAAAAGACCAAATTATGGGTAAAATCGAATTCTGGCTGTAATTGGCTGCTTATCATTTTAAATTATACCCATGGGAACCCGCTTCCTTTAAAACCAATTCTTGAACTTTTGAATAGGTAGTCCCCCTCCTCTAACCTTTTGTGTGTTTGTAAATATGTATTCAATTATATTAATAATTTTTACTCTCATGTGATTATCTTACAAATAATTTTAAAATACACGAAGAAATTACAATATCTCAACATTATCAAAACTTATTTCTCACTATCAAGTTTTAAGAAAGCGAAAAAGTCCTAAATTCTCAAACCAGAATGGAAGAAGATAGCAGGAATATAAGGAATAATAAGCCTAAATCGCCCATAGCCCAACACATCATAAAAACTGGTCAGGTTTTAATCTGAAGAATTATATTAATGCCATTATCAAAACATAGTTTCGAAAACAGAAAGACTATATTTAGAAGTAATACTATCATCTTAATACAAGAGTTTATATAAACAGAAAAATTTACCTCTCCTTGCAGTTTATGCAAATTACAAGATTGTGTAAAAAACCAAGGGTAGGCAACCTTCTGAGTTGGAAGAGTCAAAAATTACACTCTACATAATTTCAAAGTTTTTGAATTGCCACAACATTTTTCTTCAAATTAAAGACACTTCGGCCAGTAAATCTTTTTTATTGTCTCGACGTTTCGACAAAAAACGTTTGTCCTCTTCAGGAGCGAAGAAAAAATTAAAACATTTGGCAAAACGTTAAAAACAAGACGTTTTGTCTTGCCAACAATAAATAGTACGCGCATAAATAAACCCAATATTTATACGAGTACTCTACACGCAACTTTATATCCAAAGAGTCGCATGTGGCACCGCCGGTTTCCGCGATCCCTATACTAGACAATTAAGGCATATTGAAACAAAAAGATAATATAAACAAAATGATAGACATAAAAATAAAAGTGAACATTTGAAATAAATTTATTTAAAAAAATATTCAAAGCAAGTTTGATAGACTTGAATCCAGTGGCACGTAAGGGCCTTTTACATATCTCTATTTTTAAATGCTTATACTTGGAAGAAACGCCTATTGAAGAGCCCTTTTACTCAAAAACCTGTGAATACTAATAAATTGGCGAAAATAACCTTTGCGGAAAACTTATTAATTATTTTAAAATATACATATGTTAACTTTTATATCTACTTATATAATTGCCTTATTCTGAAGCTCACGGATAGAATGCGCGCCCATTGGCTGCCGCCGGCGAACACGTGTCCTCCCTGCCCCCCTCTAGACAACCCTGTTATCAGCTGTGTGATACATACACCTGTCTATAGCGGCCATTCTAGACAACCCTGTTATCAGCAGTGTGTTACATTCACCTGTCTATACAGACCACCCTGTCTATAGCGGACACTTTAGGCAACCCTGTAATCAGCAGTGTGTTACATCCACCTGTCTATACAGAGCACCCTGTATATAGCGGCCATTCTAGAAAACCCTGTTATCAGCTGTGTGATACATACACCTGTCTATAGCGGCCACTCTAGACAACCCTGTTATCAGCTGTGTGATACATCCACCTGTCTATACAGACCACCCTGTCTATAGCGGTCACCTTAGGCAACCCTGTTATCATTAGTGTGTTACATTCACCTGTCTATACAGACCACCCTGTCTATAGCGGTCACCTTAGGCAACCCTGTTATCAGCAGTGTGATACATACACCTGTCTATACAGACCACCCTGTCTATAGCGGCCACTCTAGACAACCCTGTTATCGGCTGTGTGATACATACACCTGTCTATACAGACCACCCTGTCTATAGCGAGACCAACGTTTTTAAAATATATTCGCACTCGGGTAAAACCCGGGCGTTGCCCGGGCCATTCGTCTAGTTAAAAAATAATTGTAGAACGAAAATTGCAATTTTACCGCAAATGTTTTTTTTTTTTTTGAACGAAAAATCGAAATTTATTTTAAGGAGAAATAGCGATTATTTCTAACCTTAGTGATGAAGTATGAAAGAATGAATTGTGAAGAGTATTGATAAACGGAAAAATAAAAGTGTCCAGGGATGGTACCGAACTCACAATGTTCCGCTTACCGGGCAGATGCCATGTCCACTAGGCTACCCTGGACATATTTTTCCGTTTGCAAATATTATATAAAGTAATATATAATACAATATAATGCGGCTTATGAATGTAGAACGAAAATTGCAATTTTACCGCGAGTGTTTAATTTGAACGAAAAATCGAAATTTATTTTAAGGAAAAATAGCCATTATTTCTAACCTTAGGGATGAAGGATGAAAAAAATTAATATTCACGCAGTGATGGTAAAGTGAAAAATATAACGCAAAATAGAGCAAAGGCAAGAAAGGGTTTTCGCTTTAGATATCTTCGATTGAATCCATCATATATGTAAATATTGCCACTATAATATTTTTCTTAATAGGTCATATCTATGAGTACTCATATAATGTACCTTTATTCTAAAATTTATTGGATCTTTATTCATTTCCAACTCTAATGCATACGTTGTTTTTTGTTTGTTTTTTTGCCACTGTTAGTAAGAGCAAGCGGTGGTGAGGATTCACAAATGCCTCAGTGACGTCAAAGTTCACCTTCTGCTGTCTATTGGTCGGTAGGACGCATGCGCGAGTTCCAAACCAAGTATTTAAAAAAAAAATGGGGAGCGACATATTTTAAAGTGAAATTAAAATAAAACTGAGTTAAGCGGATTACACATATTTAATACTACGCCATTAGCCCGTTCTGCATACGGGTCTATAATGATAGCCAGTTCTAAGCCTTATCAAATTTTTATCTTGATAAAAGCTAAAAATAAAGTAAGAGGCGATATTTTTCACTAATAGATGCTTAACTCTACTAAATGGAAAAATTGATTTCGAAGATATATTGTTTCATATAATTCATTTATCTATTTAATCTATGATAATATCATCTATATCTTAAGCCCTTAATTTTGTATAGATAATCAAGAGCGTTTTGCAATAAAATTGTTTTTTTTTTTCTTAACCCTAGTACACATGGTACAGGCCATGATAATCATGGAGGGTAGAAGTAGGCGACTGCTTTTACTGTAAGTGCACCACATTTCTACACATGTGAAAATCAGTTCGACTTTGCACTTACAAATATGCCAGAGCCCCGTTTGGTTACTTGCACTCGCTGGTGGGGTTGGACTTTTACAATAATCGGGTGTCATTGAAGCATTTTTTTAAACATAAAAAAGTGCCAATGCGGGAATCGAACCCGGGTCGAAGCGGTCGAAAACCAACGGTGTAGACCATCCTTCCTTCGACCCCTCAATAAAATTGTGACTATTTCAGCATTTGCTATTCGTATTCAGTTATTTGGAACAGTTTTAATTGGTCATATTTAAGATGATAGAGACATTTGATTAAAATGTATAAAATCACTCAATGTGCGCATAGGGGCTCATATAAGAAAGAAATGACTATAATGACTCAATTTTTGACGACCTGTAAATATTTATTTAGGTGTTTATTTTTTATATGTGAATTTGTAAATATTTATTTCTATGTTTTAATTTGCTTTTGTTGGTTTTTGTTTGTGTTTCCACTGTAATAGGTGCAATTACTTCAATATCCGCCTGTGTATGCGTGTGGATGATTAAAAAATTAATAAATGAAATGAATATAAATTTAGATGAAATAATAATATATATTAAAATATTTGAAAATATCGTGGTTGACTTCTCTTGATTTATCAAGAATATAGGTTGGCCAAATATCAGGGAACAGGTTAAATCAACGTTTAGTTGATTTCTGTTCCACTAGATGGCGTTCTGCCATCTAAAAGGTCATGTGAACGTGGTCAGAATATGACTTTTTTTATTTAAATAACAATAAATGTTTTTAATATCATTTTTAGTTGGTAGTTTGTTCGGAAAATATATGGATACATCAACCAATTTTTATTCATAATTACTTCACACCAAATACAGAAGGTGTTCACACTTATAGGAAACAAGTTTTATTATAAAATATTAAAAATTAACACCATATTTGAAAATTTTCAAATGTTCTATTTGAAAGCCTTTTTGTTTATTTACAGAACGGCACCTGAATTTCCACGATAGCAGACACTTTCTGATCATGGTCATACTCAAAATATCCCATTCTTCCTTTACCACTTTCCAGAGACCTTCAATTGTCCTAGGGTGTCTCTTTCCAAGTGCTCTTTTAAGGCATCCAAAAATGCAAAATCCATCGGGGCTAAATCAGGAGATTTTACAGGGGTTCTTTTCTTTGGAATAGTGTTGATTCCTGTTCTTTGCCTTAGATCTTCCAAATAAGCTTGGGTTGAAGATGAGGTATGACTTGTGGCGTTATCATGGTGAAACCAGACTTTGTTGCTCTGTTTTCCATAGATAGAGGGGATATAATTTAAAAATATAGGTTCTAAAATGTTGTTTTGATACCCATGCTTCGTCATATGTAACAATATATTTTCATCTATCAGCAGCCAAGAAATTTTCATAAAAATACCTGCTGATAGTGTGTCGCTGACGAATATGGCTCTGAAACAATTTGTGAACCGCATGTTTTTTGTAGCTTTTAGGCCTAAATCTTTATTTATTATTTTATTTATTGTTGACACTGATGTTCCTATTAATTTGGCTATATCTCTTTGTGGCATAGAATTTTCTTTTGTATAATATTTTTTCACTTTTTTGACAGTTGCAGGAGTTCTCACAGATATAGGGTGATAATCTTTTGTCCATTTCTCCGTAGGTGCTTTGAATAAAAACTTGATATTTTTGTCGTGAATAATATTATAAATGCCTTTTTTAGAAATGTTGATATCATCTTGTTTGCCTATTTTAATTATGTTCAATTAGGTAAGATTTTCTAGCTCTGGAAGGTCTTAAAATATAACCTCTTATGAAATTATTTGTATTTGAAGGGAATTTTATTTTTAATTTTTTAAAAAATGTATTGCGTGTTAGAATTAGCTTAAGCCTTTTCGAATTCCACGTTGTTGATTTTTTTAAATAAATTAATAGTTCCTTTTTTACACCGGGCGCTCGTTTCCTGTAAGTGTGAACACCCTCTGTACATATATAAATATGCATGATTTTAATTTAAACAGAATACTTAATTACAACATATAAATGAATATTTATCTTGATTTTTCCAGTTTTTAAATTATATTTACAAGTAAGTTCAAGATAGAAAACTGTAATTTTGGATTCCCAAATTCCTTTTTTTAGGTAACGAACAAATACTAAAAATAATCAAGTCTTAACTCCCACCAGTTTCAGAGTTAAAATCGTGCATTATTTAGACAGATCTTGTATTTATATAAAGGATATATTTCGAAGAGTATTCTATGTATAACAATCATATATATATATATTACAAGTCTGCGTAATATGTTTCAAAACTAATATTCAAACCATCATATGAAAGTTATAGACGATCATTTGAATCACTGTGAAAATCCAACTTTAATTTGGGAGGACGCCCAGGAAGAAGGACAATTAAGAGGAAGTCGTAATTTGAAGTTCCCGCGTGAAGGCATCTCTGGCATCCACAATAGGCTCAGCTCTCAACTATTCAGATGCCTCAACTTTGGAATTGGCAGCAATTGACAAGTCTGGCCCTTGAGATAAAACCTCTGCCAATTTTCAAACTTCCCTCATCCCTCATTTCGAGAAATCTTTCTTATAACGCACCAATGGTTCAAAGAATCTAGCTCTAGCAAAAAGAATGTTTCTACATATCCCCTACATTAAAATATCTGATAAATCATTAATGAAACTGTCTCTACTTATTAGATGCGCTTAAAATCCATTTTGACAATAATTATTGTGAATCTCTCTCTCTAAATAATTTTGTTTCGAAATAGAACAATATATATTTATCGGTATAATATGTAATTATGTAATTTTTGAGAATAGCATGACTTCAATAATTATTTTATTGATGTGTTTATAATTCCATTGAAGAGAAAAACAATTTTGCATTTATTAAAAAAAGAGTGAAAAGAAATATTGAAAAAAAAAAATTCTCAAATATACAAGCATGAGGCAACATTCAATTGAAATGGGAAATATCTGGATCTTTAGCGCATTCATAATATTTGCAAACCTTTTATATTTGGTATGTTGATATTTTCATTCAATATATTATTTAATAATAACTCTAAAATGAAGATATTTTTTTAAAAGAATAATTTGATACACTTAGCGTGACAGAAAAAAAAAATGAGCTCAAGGGTAGAATAAATAAATGTTTCGAACAGCTAGATAAAGCAACGAGCAATTAGTTATTTTTTTCACTACAGAATACATCTATATACTTGTGGAAATATTTTCTGATTACTAGGATCAATCAAAGGGCATGTTAATCGCTGTCCTGAGATTTGGAATTCCATTCCTAGTCAACTATTTGCCAGAGTTAGTCTTCTGAAGGCATCGGTGGCAGTGCCCACAAGGGACGACCAATCACGTCCTAGATGTTTATGTCGATAAGAAACCAAGTGAAACCAGTGACAAGAGGAGCCCCTGTGCACCTTGCAAAGAATAAATTATACAGCGTGATCTATATGCACTCAGACTGGGAAAATGGCTATGCACATCTACCGAGGCAGGTCTGTCATCTACTGCTTTCGATCGGTCATAGTTTTCAAAACATTTTGGCGCGTTTTTGCCTGGTATGGTGTTCCAAAGATGCCGACAGTATGAACCAGTCACAAAACTGTCACAGTCAGTTCAAGGTCGTCGGCTTCGGACATCTATACACATGGTGACCGTTATTGCTGAAACAGTAGTCTTGAAATTCTCTTAGAATACTACTCTGTGCTATATCTTTCTCTCCCCGTGGTTGTTTCTCGACACCATTTCAAACGTAAATGCTCAGTCATTGGCAGGTTTCTTCCAGATGATAGCATGGCAGCTTTGACTCATTAAATGCAGACCATATGAGCAGACTTAATATTATTATAGTGGTTTAATAATTTGGATTGACAAAATGGACGTCAGGGTCACAACTGATAAACTCAAACTATCCAGAAATCTGTTATATGCTCACATTTGCCATTTTATTTTGTTGTCTTTAAAAAAGAGAAGTTGCGTATATTTTAATG